TTTCTCTCCTAGTTTCTGCTCCTTATTGTGTCTCCTTCCTTCCTTAGGCCTTAACTGCTCTGTCCTCGCCACCTTTACCTCCTTACCTCCTCTCAACTCCTCCCTATCTCCTCGTTTCCTTTCCTCGTTTCCTCTCCTCTCTGCCCCCCCCCCCCCTGGGTGCAGGTCCCTGTCTGGACACCAGGGGGGGCTCCTCACCTGTCTTTGTCTTGAAGAAACTGCTGATTGTTTCTGAGGGGCCTTTTTCTGACTAAAATTTAGACAAAAAATTAGAGATATGTAGAAAATGTCCAAACAAAAACTCAGATAAAGCTCATAAATCCTGGATCAGAGTTCCTAAAAACCTTTTAAAGGACGTCTGGCTGCTTTGAGGGAAAACAGGAAGAAATTAAAGCTGGATGGAGACTTTTTAAACAAATTTTTATGCTTCTGATCCACTTTAAAGCGCAGACGCTGGCTCATCCCTTGAGTTAGGGGCCTTTTTCCTGCCTGAATGACTCAGATTTAAGAGGCTGAACAGAGAAAAAACACATTCCTGGAACCTTTATCTCAAGTTTGACTTTAAAGTTGAACTTTATTCATGTTTCAGTCCACATTTCCTCTTTTTTAGGGCTGATTTGGGGTTTTAGCTTCAGATTTGTGTTGAATTTAATCTCACTTTTGATGGTTTTACTCATTATGAGGAAGGATTTCCCTCATTAATTAAATCTTAACGTTTTCAGCTACAAAAACTGGACTAAAAATGAGAGAAAAAGTAGAAAATATCCAAACAAAAGCTCAGATAAAGCTCATAAATCCTGAATCAGAGTTCCTAAAAACCCTTTAAAGGACGTCTGGCTGCTTTGAGGGAAAACAGGAAGAAATTAAAGCTGGATGGAGACTTTTTAAACTAATATTTATGCTTCTGATCCACTTTAAACTGCAGAACCTGGCTCATCCCTTGAGTTAGGGGCCTTTTTCTGCCTGAATGACTCAGATTTAAGAGGCTGAACAGAGAAAAAACACATTCCTGGAACTTTTATCTCAAGTTTGACTTTAAAGTTGAACTTTATTCATGTTTAGGTCCACATTTCCTCTTTTTTAGGGCTGATTTGGGGTTTTAGCTTCAGATTTGTCTTTAACATCATCTCACCTTTGATGCTTTTACTCATTATGAGGAAGGATTTCCCTCATAAATTAAATCTTAACGTTTTCAGATACAAAAACTGGACTAAAAATGAGTGAAAAAGGAGAAAAAGTCCAAACAAAAACTCTGATAAAGCTCATAAATCCTGGATCAGAGTCCCTAAAAACCCTTTAAAGGACGTCTGGCTGCTTTGAGGGAAAACAGGAAGAAATTAAAGCTGGATGGAGACTTTTTAAACAAATTTTTATGCTTCTGATCCACTTTAAACCACAGACGCTGGCTCATCCCTTGAGTTAGGAGCCTTTTTTCTGACTCAGATTTAAGCGACCGAACGGAGAAAAAAACTTTACTTTTCG